TTGTATATTACATATGGTTTTAATAAAATAAGTAATACAATGCAAATGCGGGTGTCTTAGGCGAGTGCTATAAGGTGACTGAAGGTCGCGCGCGCCGTCCTCTGTGAATCGCCGTATATGCGTGTGTGTGTCTGTGTGCAGCATACATATGCATCGCGTCAACATGCTGGGCCCCCAGGAATGCAGTTCTGGTCTTCCACTGGCAGCGGACACAATCGATTAAATGCACGTCGAAAAGTCCCTGACGTGGTGAGGATATCAGCAACGCGGGCTATGCCGTCGGAGCCAGGGTAAAGTTGCGTTACACGCCCCAGCAGCCATTGGTTGGGCGGCAGTCGTTCATCTTTTACGAGCACCATTTCGCCCAATTTCAGGTGTCCTCCATCTTTGCTCCATTTCTGTCGCCTTTGAAGTTCTGAAATATACTCTTTGTGAAATCTATTCCAAAAATGGGCTTTGACTTGCTGTAGTCTCATATAACGTGAGAGTGTGTGCGGAGCAGTTGCTTGTTCGACCTGAGGCGATGGGAGTATAGCTACTGTCCGTCCAATTAGAAAATTTGATGGAGTAAGGGCTGCAAGATCCGATGGATCAGAAGATAGGGGGGTAAGGGGTCTCGAGTTTAGGATGGCTTCAATCTGTGTAAGGACCGTATTTAGTTCTTCATAAGTTAAATTGGCAGAACCTAATACGCGTTTCAAATGATGTTTGACTGACTTTACTGCACTCTCAGCCAAGCCATTAAAATGAGGACTATATGCGGGAGAAAATTTGAACTTAATGGATAATTTTGAAGTCTCATCACTAATAGTACCGGAGTTTTGTTTAAGAAATTTTGATAATTCATTGCACGCGCCTACGAAACATCTTCCGTTATCTGAGAAAATGCTGGCGGGACTCCCCCTGCGCGCTATGAATCTATGTAATGCAGCTAAAAAAGTCTCGCTGCTTAGATCGGTCACAAGCTCTATGTGTACAGCTTTAATGGCCATGCAAACAAAAATACACAAGTAGGATTTAATCAATCTACTTCCTCTCCCCTTTCGGTTCAATATCATTACTGGACCGGCGTAATCAACAGCTGTATTTAAGAATGGAAAATCGGTATGAAAGCGTTGTTCCGGGAGATCACCCATAATTGGTTGCCTAATCTTGCCCGAGAAACGACAACATTTAATACATTTATGAACTGTTTTCCTAGCCAAATTCCTACCACCGATAACCCAAAACTTATGACGTGAAGTGGCAAGAAGTAATTGTGGTCCAGCGTGCATGAGAATAATATGATAATATCTGTATAAGAGTGTTGCGACATGGTGTGATGAATGGAGCAGTATTGGGTGTTTTGTATCAAAATCGTAAAAAGAGTTTGAAAGCCTGCCTCCCACTCTCAAAAGGTCATCATCTGTGTTAAGAAATGGGTGAAGTTTATTTAATTGGTTTTTAATAGGTAAAGTTTTATTAGATTCTAAAATTGTATACTCTTTTAAAAACGTTTCGCGTTGTACGAATCGACACAACGCATTTAGTGACGAGTTCAACTCTGAAGTACTTAAATATCCTGTGCGTTTATTTTCAGAATTTAAATAATTATGTAAAAAGCGTTGAACATAGGCTAAAACACGTTGTAACTTATTCAAATTAGAAAATCGCTTTATGAAGTTTGAAATGTAGTTGTAATGATCTGATTGATCTGTATGTAAATTACATTGTACTTTAAATTCTGGCAAATTCAATTCTTTTGAATGTTTTGGCTGTTTAGGCCATGCTTGTTCATCCTGTAATAGAAAGGAGGGACCTGTCCACCATAAGGAACAATTCTCCAATTGCGCGGCGCTTGCGCTACGGGAGCCGATGTCGGCGGGATTTAAATTAGTAGGCACGTAACGCCATGTACTCGGTTCCGACGTTTGTATAATTTCTTGAATTCTATTGAAAACATAGGGCTTAAGTAAATGTTGTTTAGAAGATTTAATCCAACCTAAGACGATTGTAGAATCGCACCAGTAATTAAAACTGTTGATATGCAATCTGAAGGATACCTTCAATTTCTCCACGAGCCTAGCAGCGAGTAGCGATCCACTCAGCTCTAGCCGCGGGACTGTCGTGGGTTTTATTGGAGCCACACGACTCTTCGCCATTACTAAGTGAACTGAAACAACACCGTCACTCGATACAGACTTGAGGTAAACACACGCCGAGTATGCGAGTGTCGACGCATCACTAAAAGCATGTATTTCAATATGTTTAGGAGAGCAGCAAAGTACGCATCTAGGAATTTTAATGTTATTTACATATTGCAATGATTCGACGAACTTGCGCCAAGCCTGCTGAATTTCTATGGGAATGGATTCATCCCACGAAATTTTTGAAGACCATAACCTTTGCAATATAATCTTTGCTGTAAGTATACATGGATTAATTAATCCTAACGGGTCAAAAATTTGTGACATTATGGAGAGTATGTGACGTTTACTAATGTGAATGTCTTCTTGAATGTTAACGGAATACAATAATTTATCTTCTTTGCAAGCCCAAAGCAAGCCTAAAGTTTTTGAATACTCATTATTACTAAGGTTGAGTAATCCGTTACTACTGTCTTCGTTTACGATTTTATTGATTATGTGTGGGTAATTCGAGTGCCATTTTCGTAAATGAAACTGGCCTTTCTTAAGCTGCTCTATAACACCACGGCAAATGTTTATTAATTCTTCTTCAGACGATGCACCGGTTATGAGATCATCGACGTAGAAATCGTTTTGAATTATTTGTGAAACTATTTTATCCGAGCTTTCTATACCTAATTGTTTAAGGCATCTAGTAGCAAGGTAAGGCGCGGATGCAGTACCGTAAGTAACTGTTTTAAGCTTATAAAGCTTAAGGCGCTCATTAGGTTCGAAACGCCATAATATTTGTTGCAATTGATGTTGATCTTGTTTGACATTTATCATGCGATACATTTTTTCAACGTCCGCTGTTGCTACGAATTTATGCTGTCTAAGCCTAATTAGAATGCTAATGAGGTCGTCCTGCACAGTTGGACCGACCATTTGAATATTATTGTATGACAGACCTGACGTCGTGACTGCTGAAGCATCGAACACAACCCTCAGTTTTGTCGATAAGCTTGTTTCACGGATAACACCATGATGGGGTAATATATACTTATGTGCATCATCATCGGGTTTTGTGTTTTCTGCCATATGTCCTAGGTCAATATATTCCTGAATGAATTTATTGTATTGTTTTTTAAGTAATGGGTCTCTGCTAAATCTACGCTCCAACGACACAAATCTAGCCAAAGCCCTCTCGTATGAGTCGCCTAACTTAGAGGGAGACTCTTTCAATGGAACAGTAACAATGAATCTTCCGTCAGAGTCCCGAATTGTGTTATCTATAAAGTCTTGTTCACATAGTTGCTCTTCCAATGACATTTGTTTATGCTGAGGAACATTTTCGTGTTCAAAAAACTGTGTTAATTGCTCTTGAAGTTGATCATCTTGTGTAACGATAGTGTGATTGCAGTGGACTGTATTTGAGTAAGTATTTGTTTGAATAAGACCGGATATTAACCAGCCAAATTCAGTTTTACTTAATGTAGGCATGTTTTTGCCTAATGAAATATTATGAGAACCTAACACGCTCCAAAAAATATCTGCTCCGAGAAGCATATCTACTTCAGCAGGTATGTTAAATGTAGGATCTGCTAGTGTTATGTTAGGTGGAATTTTAAGTAATGTACAATTAATGTGTACTGTAGGTAACGGTTGTGTAATGCGGGGAACAATAAAGCAATTTGTGTTTGTTTTGTATGTATTTATAAGTGATGATAAAGTGACACCGCACCGCTTGTTTAAGCGAGACGTTTGGGCATTCAACCCTTCGACTAATGACGAGGTCGACATGGTGGGTAAGTTAAGTTTTGCATGTAGTTTTTCTGTAATGAAGCTTGACGTGCTTCCGTTATCTAGTAGCGCACGTACTGTATGACCTTGACCCTTATGATCTAGAATTTGTATTAATGCTGTGGACAAAAGCACGCAGTCCCTATGAACAGCTGATAATACAACACTATGCTGAGAAATGTTATTAGAAGTAGGTTGTATATTAGGTGACGCCTGCGGCGACTGTTCCTGCGGCAGAGGCGTCCCGGCGCAAAGGGCAACGTTGCTATGTGACGTCGATGGAGCGGCTCCAACAGGTGCGTCATGAGAATGAAGTAAGCTATTTAGCAATTTATTGCACAAACGACATGGTCCAATTCTGCATGCATTTGCGCTATGCCCTTGACGCAAGCAGTTAAGGCACAATTTTAATGTTTTAGCCTTTTGCATTCTTATGTCTAATGAGTAAGATCTAAACTTCATACAGCGATAAATAGCATGACTATTTTTACACAATGGACACACGAATTGTTTATTTGCATTATTAGATTGAAATTGTGAGCTGACAACTAATGACTTGTGTCGATTATGCGTGACGTCACTATGCCTACGCTTAGTGTGTATCTCCTCCATGGTTTCTAAGAGATCTGAACGGTTTCTTAAGAAATTTAAATATATTTCAAGTGTGGGTAACTCATTTAGTGTGTTACGGTATGTTTCCCATTCACGAGTAGTTGTTGAATCTAATTTGTTTGATATTATGTATATGATAAGAATATCCCAATGTTCAGTGGGTAATTTAAGTGTTTTTAGAGCGCGCAAGTTTCTATTGACAGTGTCGATGATGTCGCGTAACGCCTTTGAAGATTCTTTAAGTAATATTTCTATGTTGAAAATAGCTTGTATATGGTTGTTGACAAGAAGCCTTTTATTATGAAATCTATCACAGAGTAAACCCCAAGCAACGTCGTAATTCTCTGCAGAAAAATCAAGCGATCGCACCATCAAAGCGGCACTATCTTTCAAAGCTGCACGTAAGTAATGGAACTTGTTTATTTTAGGTATGGAGTCGTTTGAATGAATAAGTGAGTTGAATGTGTCGTGAAATTCCAGCCAGTTTTGATATTGACCCGAAAAGCCAGGTAAGTGTATAGTCGGAAGCTTAAGACTTGGCCTACCTTGGTGTACACAAGAACCTGACCTGGAGCCGGAGCCCGAACCAGAGCGCGCAGGGCAATCGTTCCGCGCCAGCACCTCCCGAGCGAGCGCCATTGCACCGAAGTACTTGGTCTCAAAGGCCTCTCGATCCTGAAACTGTTCGTTTGGAATTTCAGATGTTTGTTCTATCTCTGTTTGGAGGCTATCATATTCTGAATATATTTCTTCAAATTTTGATAATCGAATGTTAAGTTCACCAATTTGCAAACTACTTAGATTAGCACAACTATTCAAAGTTTCTAAATATTTTTCGAACTGAGTTAATTTAGCTTTAAATGACGCTCGTTGTTTAATTAAAGTTTTTAAATCCATAATTTTACTAAGTAAGGTTTGTTTACTTACGAAAAATTTACTTTTAAGCTGTAGGTTTAGAACAGTATGAGCTTTTAAGATTAGAACAGTATGAGATTATGACTTTTTCTTAATATAATAAAGTGCAATGTGTACTTAAATTTATCAATGAAGCGTGATGAGAGTGCAGTAAGGTAAGCCGCACGTAAGCCGAGTGCGTAGACGAGGAAGCAAGCAATAGATAAGCCGCCGTCGTCGTTGCAGCGAAATGACCGCGTCGTAGGTATGAAGGTCACTAACCGCTCGCACTCACTGCATTTAGCTGGAATGTGCACAAAACGCAGGTATTTTAAAAATAGGTCACTTGCACAGATTGATAGCGTAAACCTAAAAGACGTAAAAATAATAAATTTACTGTCGGGAATTAACAATATAACGTTTATTTTTTTTGTTAATCAACAATAAGTATGGGTTGAAATTATTTTTTAATTGAAAAAACACTAAAATGATGAATATTATTTGAGTAATTTACTATAATAATGAAGTTGTTGCATTTATCGTGCGATTAAAGTATAAAAATTTAATGAAATTGTATTAAGTAAGTTGTAGTAATTAAGTAAGTAACTAAGTAGGTATGATAAGATTTTATTGACTACAATTAAACAACTAAATTGGTCATGAAAGACTACAGCTTGTAACAGCTTGTACTTTAAAGAATTAGGGAAATATATGGCATTAATGATTAATTCGCGTTTAAAGTGCGAAATGATTAAGATTTAAATACCAATCTAACGGACACGATAATTGGAACGGACTCACGGTAACGCTACTCCCTCAGGTTTTAATGTACAGATATTCTATCTCACGAAGGCGGGTGAGCCAAAGGTGTTGTTACGCGTGTACATGCACATTGTTTTAGTGTGCGTAAGCTCAGGAGCGCTCAGTTGCGATCTCGAGCTCGTCCAGATCACTTGTGCTAATTGTGTTCGCGTCAGATTGTCCAAATGAGTACCGTCAGCATGGAAACAAAACAAAGAAAAGTCGTCCGTAGTGAGGTATTGTAATTTTCTCTTCTATAATAATAATAAGACATTATTTTTATTTTATAGTAATATATCGTTATTTTTTGTTGCGTTATATGAATTTAAAATAATGTAAGCCTTTTTTTGGAATAATCAAAATAATTAATAGTATGGTTAGATTAGGTTTACTTGCCCGTTAAAATTAATAATTTGTTAGTTTATAAATAAATATAGAATCTCAATGTCTAGTATTGTACAGTAACCTAGACCACGTGTGGAGCAAACTTTCAAAAGCTTTGTTTTCTTTTCCTGTTTACTTTGCCGACAATATTTTATAACCTCTCTTTTGTTACCCGCCTGTTCTATTTTCGCAGAAACAATCTTTTTTTATATTGCCGATATTTGTTAACAATTTGTTTTTCTAATTCTACATCTGTTAACAATTTCTATATTCTTTTGTTTTAGGGTCGAAGCATGATAGCCAGCGTTTATCATTTGCATAATATCGAAGATTGGTGCGAGGAGGTAGATCGCGCAAAATCTTTGAATAGTTGGAGTGACTATGAGTGTCTGTCCCGTATAGGCAATTGTTTGAAAGGTGATTCTCGAACATGGCTGAACGAGTGGGTAACGAGCGAACGTACTTGGAGTAATTTCAAAAGGGAATTTATACCGTTACGTCCCAAAACACCTGACGTCGCTAACATTTTATACGATGTAATGTGCACGAATTCGGACAATTACTCAACTTATGCTGATTACGCTCGTCGCTCACTGCTTCGGTTACGTATAGTGCGAGGACTCAGTGACGAACTGATATCGGCAATAATAATTCGCGGCGTCACTGATCCGCAAGTTCGGGCGTCTGCCACAAATGCTAAACTCTTAAATGATTATCACTAGTATCAGGTTTCTTACCACGGTATGACTTCTTTTTATTTTCCCGATATTCACGAGATTCAGAGTCACGTAATAAAAATAAAGTAAATTTTTGTCGTGAAAATGTAAATACCCGCAATATTGATGTTATTGTGGCTGTTATTCAGGGAGTACCTGTAGATGTTCTTATTGATAGTGGGTCAACTATATAATTGATTTCGTCATGTTTGTTGAAACATTTTAATTGCGCGCGTAAGCCTGCGTTTCGCGTGCTACGGGGCCTGGGTAGTCAGGACCTCGAAAGCACTTCATTTGTTACACTGCCGATCGAGTTCGATGGCATAACTCTCGAAGTCGATTTGTTTGTTGTGGATTCTGTTTTTATGAACACGCCAGTCATAGTACAGACGTCCTTAATAGGGAAGGTGTCCGGTATATTCGTACGCGTGAATCACAGTTACTAATCAGGGAAACAGGTGAACTGAAGACGGTGATGACTGTTCAGTCTGGTGTGTCGGTACCCATCACTACACGTCTTGTCGACGAACAACTACAGCGATTAATGGCAATAATTAATGATTTCGCTTCGTACTTTATATCAGGTACGGCCACTTCGACTGTCTATACGGGTGGTATGTCTATCAGACTGAACAGTAATACACCCATTTACTATCGGCCTTATCGTCTTTCTCACGCCGAAACAGTTCGTGTCCGTGAAATTATTAAAGATCTTTTAGATAAGGGAATCATTCAGGAATCGGAATCCGACTATGCAAGTCCAATTTTATTAATAAAAAAGAAAGATGGCTCCGATCGTATGTGTGTCGATTTTCGCAAGTTAAATGAAATAACAGTAACGGATCGTTTCCCATTGCCGCGAATCGACGACCATATTGATCGTTTGGGCCGCAATAAATACTTTACAAACCTCGACATGGCAACAGGATTTCACCAGATCCCGGTAGAAAAGGGGTCCGTTTCTTTTACTGGCTTTGTAACGCCTGAAAGGCACTATGAGTACTTAAAAATACCTTATGCTTTGGCCAATGCCCCAGTAGTATACCAGCGAATTATAGCGAAAACTTTACGTGAGTTTATCGAGTCTGGTGATATTCTGGTGTACATTGACGATATTTTGATTCTGAGTAAGACCATTGACCAGGGATTTATTTGATTGCGCAACGTTCTCACGACGTTGACTGAAGCCGGTTTTTCCATTAACTTGAAAAAATGTACTTTTCTTTCCACGGAAATTGGTCGTAGTATTAGTGAAGGTCAGTTACGGCCGAGTCACCATAAATTCAAAGCCTTAAAAGATGTTGCTGAGCCAAAGAACGTGAAGCAGGTTCGTCAGTTTACGGGCCTAGCCAGCTATTTTCGTAGGTACATACCTGGCTTCGCCCAGAAAGCTGCCTGCATTGTCGGTTTGACAAAAAAGGTGTAGATTTCAATTGGGGGACGGAACAACAGATTGCTCATAAGGAAATAATTGAGTGTCTTACTAGCGAGCCCGTCCTTGCATTCTATGGTCCTTCTTTACCAATCGAGGTTCACACTGATGCCAGTTCCATCGGCTATGGGGCAGTTCTACTCCAGGTTCACGACGGTGGTTACAAACGAGTGGTTGCCTACTATAGTAAATTAACACAAGGCGCAGAGACGAAATATCACTCGTATGAGCTCGAGACCCTCGCTGTCGTAAAAGCTCTGCAACATTTCGGACACTATCTTGTGGGTGTATGCTTCACTGTGGTCACTGATTGTAATGCATTGAAGCTTACTCAACGCAAGAAATATTTATTGCCCAGGGTGGCCCGGTGGTGGGTATACCTTCAGGATTTTGATTTTGCTCTGGACTATCGCAAGGGTACTGTTACGGGGCGGGTCAGGAAAAGCTTTTTTAAAAAAACTATATTTAAAACACTTAACTTTATTCTCAAAGAAAAGGTCTGTGCCTCATGCAAATCCAATCCGAACTGCCTGCTCCGCGCATGCCCGGTTGCACGCGTTTTCGGTTTCCTATTGCATTGACGTAAATGCAATGGGAAACTCAGCGATTTTATTTTATATTTTAACCCATGTAATTTCGGATATAACAACCCCCCGTTAAGATCGATCATCACATCTTAAAGTGATGAGAGATTTCAAGATCGACGCGAGATGAATCCTAATTGGATTTCCGTTTGGCAGACAGTATACATACAAGTTATATTCATTAGTTTTAACTAATGGAGACTATAAACTAATAGAGAAATTAACTAAGGCTAGTAAGAACTGAAAAAGGTTACAACTAAATATTGGGAAATACTAGAGTAGACAATTTTAATATATTTCGTTAATTGTTATGATATTTAGAAAGTAGAATGTTTCTTTTAGTAGGGGTTGGCGTTATTTGCGTAGCCTCCTCTACAGACTCAGAATCATTTCCTTCTAAGGATCTCGGTGAATCCCCATGGATCACCATATGAGATATAGGATTAGAGTTAGTTTTAGAGTTATGACATTGATTGAATATTTGTATGCAACAAGACGAATTAGGCTTAAAAAGAGCCTTGCGATTTTTATACAATATACATATATATTAAAATTAAGATACTAGTTATGAAACTCAGGGACATATAGTGAGTGCCATATGTTTCGAAATGAGAAGAATTTTCTAATTTATTAAGCTCTTCTTCAAAAGAGTTAAGATGGATGCTGGCGTGTAATAATGAATCTAAGTTGTTCAAGTTATTTAACTTAGTATACGGTAATCGATTTAAGGTTTTGTTTAACCTTGACCTGTCACAACAGTCATCTTGTAAGATATTAAAATTGGATATTTTATTTGTTACATTACTGATTAACGTTTCGCCTAGGGCAATGAACTGTAAGGTTTTGAAAAATGCTTTACAAGTTTTAGGCAATTCTAAGATGCCAGTCCCGAATAAAATGACATCTGAACTTACATCTCTGTTATCACAAGTTATATGGCACTTCCCTGGTTCCGTCTGGACATAAATCCAGCGATTAAAAGACACCTTATAAAATAAGTCGATTGAACCGTGTATCAATTT